GAGGGCGTCTTCGCGAATGGGCTAATGGTGACACGAAGGAGAGCAGCCTCACAAAGACCCAAGACGGCTGGCTGGCATTCCCTTCTGAAACCAAACAGCACACTCCCTGTGATCCACTGATGCCACGCCCAGATATGCACAGACCCCACAAAACGCATGTGTCCCGGATCCAGAAAGGCAAACAATACTCCTAACTGCACTACTCATAATCCTCGGAGCTAACCCAGATGCCCACCAACAGCAGAATGGACAATGAAAATGAGCACATTACAAGCGCACAAGACCTGCAGGAACTCCAATACTAAACAAGAGAACCCACAGCTAAAATAAAAATACGCAGATTAAAAGCAAGCAAAAACAAACTTGTGTGATTTGGTCAGAACGAATCATTATCTTCAAGGCGGGGAACGAAGGCTTCTGAGATTCAGAAACCCACCGACTCCTCACTCATCCACTACCCAGCAGTCTCAGGACCGAGTACGACGCTAAGAAGCCATCTGACTCTTCTGCCCATCGATATCATCCACCTGGAAGATCTCCCTCAAGACTGGCCACGTATGGGAAACAACGAATGTGGAGTTCTGGCTCTAGTGCTTGTGTTATTATATGTGGCAGATGATGTATCCAAGGTTATAACCAAAGCCACTGCTGTCCGGTCCGTTCTGATGGGATAGTAGAGCTTCCCCAGAAAGCAGCACTTCTCAACCTGTGGGGCGCGACCCTTTCACAGGGGTTGCCCGATTCATAACGGTAGCAAAATTACAGTGATGAAGTAGCAGCGAAGCTACTTTCATGGTTGGGGGTCACCACAGCATGAGGAACTGTATCAAAGGGCCGCGGCCTTAGGAAGGTTGAGAACCACTGCCGAAGAGTTCCAAGGCTGTGTGATCTTTACTGCTGCATCGCTCTCTGGCTGAGCGGCTGGTGGGTTCAAACCAGCGGCCTTGCACTCTCCACTGTCCCTCCAGAACTCTTCGTCCAAGGTCATGTCTGTCTCCCCTGATCCCAAAGGTCATGTGCTCTTAACCACTGAGCTATTTGTACCTACTGATGGGATACAGGATATTTCTCTACTGGAAAAGAAATTGGACTAGATGATTTCTCTCACACCAAGATTTGACACTTGAGTAAGTGTGAGAAGGAAAGTGAACACAGAGAAGCCCCAAGGAGCTAATGTGGGCAAGTCTGTGAATGAGCGTGACTACTGAGCGTGAGTTCAGGTAGTACGTGTGGACTGGTGCAAACTGCAACGGTCCAACTGTCTGTGGTAGGAAGTAGGGCAACACGGCCACAGGCAACGTTTGTCCTGGAGGAAACGGGTGGTTAGAGTCCCCACAGCAAGGAAGTGTGAGCCAGGGTGTCGTTAAAATGCAGGGACAGGGGAAGCTGGCAAGGCCCACCTTCAGCAGAATAGCATTTGGACCGTGACAGCAGAACAAGTCATTAGCTATGGATATGCAGCTGTAATGGTGAGGTTTCAAACATCTGTAGGGAAAAGAGCAAGGCAGGTTAGGGAGATCAAAGCACCTACATAAAACCATTTACACAGCATGCTAACGTTTGCAAGAGACCCGTCCTTCCATGGTCCCATCTTGATCTCACTACAATTCTGGGAGGTAAAGGGGGGCAGCAATAAGAGATGTGGGGTCTGTGATGCCCCTACAGCTCACAGGGCCCCCAAACCACTCCCTCATTAAAAGTGCAGTAACGAATGTGCTACTAAAGGCAAGGACTCGAACCCCAGTGCTGTCACCGTGTCCGTATGTGCCCAAGGGAAGCCACTTTCTGATTCTGACCCCGCTTCCTCTTGTACAGTGGGGACACGGCCTCCCTCTCAGAAAGCACTTCCTTGGAGCGGTAAGATTGCTATTCTTAAATCCCGATCCCCATCTCCTAGTTGCAATTTTAAACAACATGGGCCTCATCAGCAAAACTGTCCCAACAATGCTTACCTCC